GATTTGGGTATCTCTTTTATCTGTAAAATCGTTGGTCAGATGGATTCAAAGCCTTAACATAAATGCACTTGACCAGGAAGGTGAATTTGGTTGATATTGGACTTTCAAATCAGTGTCTGACAGGTTTTCTTTTCTTTTCTTTTTTTTTTTTCTAACACAAATCATGTGTTGAATACACATCCTGAACAGTACACTTTAAGTGCATTATTCTGCTAATTCTGTGTAGTGTGAGCCTAGATTTTACTATTGGCTCAAACACTCTACCTTCATAAATACAATTTGATACCACTATGCTTTGGATGTTTTGCATAAGAACCTCAAAACTTGAACATACAAACTCAACTCTAAGCTGATAGCCTTGATGATGTCAACGTACTCTATATATGATTGTCACTTCTATTACTTGACAGGATGAATAGCTGTTCAGCTTGGAACTAAGGACAAATGAGTTGATCAGCTTTTCCTACTATTTTATTTGTAAATTACATATGTAGGGGGTATGACAGACTAGTAAATACACTTGTCTAGTAATTCAAGTGGCAGTCCTTGCTCTATAGTGGCCTTTTAGGATTGTCACAAATAACACTTCAGAGCCAAGGGGTAGTCCTGCATTTTCAGGACCACAGTACAGGAGAGAGCTTTATACAATTACTGATGTGAATTTCTCTAAAAGTGTATATTTTTGTGTCCAGTTGTATTATTTAAGTGTTCCTTTGTATAAAATGTGTATAAAGTATTGTATAGTTCAAAATGTTTTCATCTTGTGCTGTGGTTATTGCTTAAGTTTTTTTAAAACTTTCACCACGGTTGAATAGAAGCTGAAAAATTGTAAATACTGTTAATAAAAGTTGAATATTTTAGTGATTTTTTAAAATGAGACACTGGGAATAATATATACTGTCAATATAGTTGATTGTATAACTTTATTTTATATCTGTTCTAGATACTTACATATATTTTCTATCAGATAAGAACTTATGTACCTAGAAAAACTGAGACAGTTCCTAAAGATTTAATTAAGATTTCTTTAGCTCTAGGACTTGTAAAGGAGCAAAAAGTATATAATATCAGGTGAACGATGGAAAACAGTAATTGTGTGATTACTGAAGGGACTTTTTTGGGATGTATATATATTTATTTTAATAGCAGTGCTAGTATAGTTCCTATGTGTAACATGTTACAACAGAGATATCTCACTTTTGAATAATGAGAAAATGAGGTATTTTAGTGGGGTCTTTTTTCTCCTGCGCTAAATAATGCAGTATTCTTTGGAACGTTTCATATTAATTCCATTTCACTGTGGTTTTGTAGCATTAACAAAAATACCATAGCTTCTTAGATTAGATCCAGGTTTATCAAACTTCTGTTCTTGTGTTGATGCAGAAACATAGTAAAGGGGTGGTGGATTGTCTTAATTTTGTTTTACTTCTACCTCTCCTGAGATATTTAACAAAGACTGGATTGATATATAGTACACTTAAATCAAATGAAGTCTTAGCAAATGTATAAACTAAGTTATTGTCGATAGAAATATGGGGGGAAAGGTTTGTAGAAGCTAGCATTAGAGTACTAAGATCTTATTGATGCTAATTCCTTGTAGTCACTATACTTCAGATAATATTGGGTAAGGTAATATGGTCTGCTCTGGACTTCATTTTAATCTTCATTTGCACTTACTTGAGAAGTCTGATTAAAATATCTTGCTAATTACTTTGCAGCTTTATAGAAAAGTACTAAAGTATTTCTTTATCAGCAGACACTTTAACATGTAACATTTGGATCTTTATCATGTTTTAGAGCACCCTTTAATACATTCTAGAATAGGAGCATGGGAAATTAACCATTATATTGGACCATTCTTTCATCTAGCTCAATTATTACATGGACTGGATACAACTTTTCAGAGTACCCAGAATCTCCCAGATGTTTTTGGACCAGACAGGCCTTTAAACTGGGATTTTACACGAGCAAAGTCAGCATCCCCATTTATTGAGGATGGATGAAGCTTTCTGTGTGTGTGTCCACGCGTGCACCATAGCAAAAGGGTTTTCCTGGTCAATCAGAAATGAATCAAAGAAAAACTTGATATGTGTTGAATACAACTCATTTGGTGCTAGACTGTTATCTTGGTTCTGCTTCAAATACTTGATGTTCTCTGAAAACATGAGAAACAAGTAATAGGCAACCACATTTTAAGGTCAGATCTGTAATGCAAGCAGCTGGGTGTCAGGTTTATCAAATTGTGAAGTCTACCAGAAATAACAGACCTATTTCTTTACTTCTCCACTTACGTTGGCTCTGATAACAATGATACATCTCTCAGTCACATTCCACTTAACTGCTATAATGTGCTATATATGAAACTGACATGCTTAAATTGAAAAAATTAGCTTGTCTAGAATGGAGTAGTGATATGGATCATGTAACTCCTGGTGTTTAAACCAATCCACTGACTGATTTTTGTCTAGACCAGCAAATTGCTGATTATAAATTAAAAAGCCGTAGGTGGCTTGGCACTAGATGATTGAAACACTACTCTTCTAACAGAGACACCTGACCTAAAATCTTAAGAAGTTCCCGTTCTTTTGTGCTTGCCATCATTAGCTGCACATTTGATGGAAGCGTTAAATAGCTCTCAAAACTGCCAAAGGTAGCCTGCTAGGCCTCCTCAGTTGCTTTGTGCAAGCAAAGTTATTCAGATAAGTGGTATTGAAGCTAGATCGTCAGATGTTTTTGTTATTTACAGTAGTGTGCAAAAGTTTTAGACGGGTGTGAAAAAATGCTGTAAAGTAAGAATGCTTTCAAAAATATAGTAATTCTTTATCAATTTACAAAATGCGAAGTGAGCAAACGAGAAATCCAAATTAAATCAATATTTGGTGTGACTAT